TTGTACCAAAGCTAAAAAATGCTGCGAAACATATTACCTCTGTCCAATCTGCCAAGAAAAGACGGACGGCACTTTGCACGAAAGATAGTTTTAAAAATTATCACAAACCATAAAAATGTTATTTTGCTTGAATAAACCTGTATAAACTTTTTCCTTTTGAATAAACTTTGTATAATTGTATTTTCTATTCATTTAACCCTAGATTTGTGGGAATGGTCATTTTGACCATATCTTCATTTTAATTGGACATTACTTTTTATATTCTTTATTTATAACTTTGATTTTTTTTTTTTTTTTTTTTTACTTTTTCTTAAAGCTAACAAATATTACATGATATTATTTTTGTTCATGTTAAGTAATTATTTTTGACAATGTTATTGTTTATACCTAGAATTACGGCTAACAGTCATTTTTACCATATCCAGAAAATTATGGATTTTTCAATTTTTCATGGGCCTTTTTTTTATCTATTTCCGTTTTGCTGATAGATAAACAATTGTATTTTTGGTAAGGAAGATTGCATATTTCACAGAAGTTAGTGGGGAGGGGAAAAGGGGGAAATAAAAACACGTTTGGAATCTTTGCATGCCACATGTCTGCACATTTTGCTTGCATTAGGAAATACATTTTTCAGTAGATACTAATATACTTTACTTCATTTGGATAGTTTTGTTATTCTGATCTGTTTATCATGTCATGTAGGAGCGTTGGTAGAAAATATCTAATGAAGGAAGGGATGCTGAATGTTTTTGAAAGTCTTTCTGATGATAATTCTGCTTCAGAAACTGAACCGGATGAAGAATTTCATACCAAAACTACATCCAGTTTATCCAATGAGGACTGAATTGTTCCTACTGAAACAAGTAAATCCAATTTGCTGATGGAGAACCTGTTGACAAAACAGAAAAGCAAAGTAAGAATTTAGATCAAGATCCCAAAGACTGCAAACTAATCCATTTTCTCTTGTTTCGGATACCTGGAATGCTTTTATAGAAAACTGCTGACATGTTATAGATTAGGCAAAAATATAAAAATGGGTGAACAATTATTTCCCGTGAAGACCGATGCCGATTTATTCAGTATATGCCTAAAAAGGCCTGACTAATTCGACATTAAATTTTGGCTTGCTATTGATTTTCATATTTGGAAAAAGATGAACAAGACCAGCTGGAGAAACAGTAGGTAAACATGCAGCTTCTTGTTTGATGAAACTACTGAAATTAGTAAAAGAAATGAGGAATTCAGGGATAAGCTGCATTGGCACAATAAATCATTCAACAAATTTTGAAGCATGACAATATAATGCTTACATTAAGGGGGAAAAAAGAATGTCCTGCTCCTAAGTATCATGCACCCAACATTTGAAATCGCATCTGATAAAAAAAGTGTACCGAAAGTTGTGAGTTTTTACAATTCGACCAAATATGGAGTTTATGTTTTGGACTCGATGACCAGAAAATACTCAGTGAAATCCTCATCCAGCCATTGGTCACTTTATAAGGTATTTCTCCCACCTTCTTGGCATGTCTTCATGGTGTGGTGGTCTGCATGCTGGGCGCGTATTCCAGAGGACCGCGGTTCAATTCCGGCAAAGGCAGTTGCTCATTTTTCATCTCTCTCAGTTTCAAAAAATTGTGTAATGACTCTACAATTTCAAATTTTTATATACAGTCAAAAGTTGTTAATTCGGACCTCAAAGCTAAAAACTTTTTGCGCATGTGCATAGGCGTTTACGCGTGCGCGTAAGACCTTTACTACTGCGCATATGCGTGTGCGCAATCGCAGAATATGTTTTCGCGTGCGCGTTTAATGTATAACGGACGGTATAAGCTAAAATTATCTAATTATCTATTTCAGTTAATGTTGATGATTGCGTTGTTCCTTAATCTTATCGGATTAAGGATATTGGCTTATTATTTTTTGCAGACTGTAAGAGCAATTTTATAAAAGTAAGCTTGAACCTTCGATTATGTCAAATAGAATTTCCGATGGTAGAGCTCCCAAAGGATCTACAAAACGAAAGTATGTTTCGATGTCCATCAAACAAAAAGTGGAATTGCTGCAAAAAATGGATAAAGGCATATCCTTTGTTTATCTAACCGTTCCGAAATCTGTCTATCAATTTAACGCTGCTCTGCGCCGGGGGGGGGGGGGAACGTCGCAGCGCGCAATGAACTGGAAGTTAATCTGTTAGCACTATCGTTATCTTCAGGGCAGATGTTTTTATTTTATTCCGCTTATAATTCCTTACTAAGTGTAGTATTTCATCTCGATGTACTCCATCTTTGATATGATTTAAATCAAATTCCTCGTCATTATAAATATCACAAATACAAATCAAATAGTGTTCTGGTTGCAATTTTCTAATTTCGGCTATGCATAATGTATGCTTTACACATGCGCGTGTTGAAAGAAATTTTTAATAAAGTAAACAAATAAATGTCAAGTTTTTTTTTTTTTTTTTTTTTTGTAAATTTTGATACCTTTAGGTCACATTTGCTCATTATTTTATAAATTACGGTTTCATATTTTTAATTTTATAATTTCTGCATGCCATCTTACCAGATTTAAACTGATGATCTATAATCCGGAAAAATCGATAATCCAGAATCACCGAAGTCCCGAAGAGTCCGGATTAAAGACTTTTGACTGTATATATATATATATATTCTTGATTTGGCTGCAATAAATGTATGGATAATTTTCAACTGAATATAAGAGTATCAGCCCTCGTGATTTTATTTTCAATACAGCTGAGGGGCTTCATCCAAAGTTCACAAACTTTCTGTATCTAACGAAAAGAGAATTGTACTTGTGTCAACCCTTCCTGTAAGTGTAAACTGTGCCAAATAAATGCATGCAGAGGCAGCAAAATTTTGAATACTGTATAAAAATATGTTCGTAGAACCTGTATAGGTAAAATAAAAAAATTAGTAATCTGTGTGCATTGCAAAACCGGGTAATGAAAGTCGTAATATGTATGATTTTTAATATATTTATTTCAGACTGAAAGTTTTTATGAGGTGCTTTATTAAATGATAAGATGTTTAAAAATATCTGGAGTGATTTTTCTTCTCTTTTAGCACTTTGTTATATTAAATTATCTTTTCATTGCATGTATTTACTCAATTTACTTTACTCATTAAACAAGCAAAATGTGTCGTTATAAGCATTAACTTACATAATATTAGCAAAAAGGAGAGCCTTTTCTTCTGTTCGAAACAAGTGGTCAGAGTAACTGCTGTTCGTAGATATAGGTGTATGAGAATTTGCATAATGCTAGTGTTAAGCCACACCTGATTTTTTTTCTTCTCTTTCCTGAAGCCATCTATTCATATTTACACTGTTATGTTATGACTTTCTTCATAGCTGTACAAATATGGCAAGTAGTGAAGTAATGAGTTACTTGTAGTTGGCATCTTGAAGAAATAAACAACCTACGAAATATCTCATAGTTGGCAGTGAATGTGTTAATGAAACTACACACTTCGTATACAAGCAATAAACTTGACATTACATTGTTTGCATGAAGAGTCCAAATTAAACTTGTGTTCATTTGGTCACATGACGTGTAGAAATGAAATGAGAGTTATATTTGGATGAATCACATGATCTAGCAGATGCTTTGCTTGAATAATGGCTGATGGCATCTGTTACAAACTTAATTTCAATTCATATAGAAGAGTCACATATTTTAGTCAAGCTGAATATGGATTCTTATTGTGAATTGCAGTTTTTTCTAACTTTCAATTAACAGTTTCAACAATACCATATTTTAATGTGATTAATTTGGACTTAGAAGTTTTGCTTTCAGAATTTTACTTAATTGAAAATTCTGTAGGTTTTTTTTTTTTTTTTCTTTTTTTTTTTTTTTTTTTTTTTTTTCTTTTTTTTTTTTTTTTTTTTTTTTTTTTCAATTATGTGGTGGGCTATTATTGAAATATGCTGTTTTGGGAATAATGTGCCTTGTCACTGCTACACTTGATAAATCTTCCAAAGTCTACAAGATAATCTCTGACTTTAAAGTAAAAGAGACAAGTATCATTGGTTCTTTATTGTTAGCTTTTGGAAACTGTGACATGTTAGACAATTAAGAACCAAATCTTCAATTTAGTTTGACTTTCTTGGTCAACATAGTATCTCTGTAGTTTTATTTTTGCATTTTCCCACTTCTAAATGATCATGATAAATTTTACTTATTTTCTAGGTACAATTACATAGGAATTTTTAAATTTTAATCCATTTGCTTCTGACAGTTCATCTCTGAAATTAAGATATTGTTTTGCTAATTCTGGAATCATAGATTATGCATCTGGCCATTTACCTTTAATAAATTTTCTTTTTTTCCTTCAGACATTGAAATACGTTCTACAACCATACCAACACAGACTTCTGTTATTCTTTCAAAGAAATCAAGTTCATAAGTTCATCACCTGTAAATTATTTGATATTGCATTAGCTGAGTTTTTTCCCTGGTTTATGTTTTATCTCAAACTGTAATCTTTTACATGTTCTTGTAATCTTACTGGATATTCATTTAATAGCATCTTGAAAATTATAAAGAAGATATTAAAATCCTATAAAAGATTATTTTGGATTATGTTGTTAAACATTTCTAGAATGTTTATTTATTTTGTAATATCTAAATTTTGTTTTAATTTTTTTGTTTAATTTGTTAAAGTAATTTGATTTAGCGTTCGTAAAGAATTGTATGTTACTATTGAATTATTTGCTTTTCTGAATTCAGAATTATTTAATATAATTCTCTTAGATCTATACAGCTTCTTGTGTGTAATTTTTGTTTAATTGTGATTAGCATTAAGTAAGGCATTTATTGTGTGTTTTATTAGTTTAATTTTTTTAAAATTTTTTTTTATTTATTATTGTTGAGTTGAACAAGGATATCATGCTTTTTGTGAATTGCACATAAATTGTAAATCCTTTAATGGTATCATATTTTTTTGTTTTTCATCTTATGTGCTGCTGCTTTTATTTTCTAGGCTGATGGAATTTTGAATAAAGATGATGTGAATGAGATGATTTCAAATCACCATTCTGTCCTTAATGAAAATTTAAAGCTCACCGAGACATACAAAAATGAGGTATCTTCTTAATTGTGATCTTCCATTTATTAGGACTATGAAACTTCAAAATAATAATTAAAAAAAGACTATTTAGCATTTTGAAGTGTAATATGTTATTTAATATGGTACTATTTCTATGCCTGTTTTATCACTATTTAATTCAGTTTGTATATATCTTAAATGTTTTCAGAATACAAAATGCACTTCATTGATGCTTATATAGTCATATGCTTGTTTCAAAGATTGTTGCATTAGGTAATAGCACACTTGGGATTAGGTAATAGCACACTTGCGATTAGGTAATAGCACACTTGCGATTAGGCATCTAAGCACATTTAGCATTAAGCATCTAAGCACACTAGGTATTAAAATGAAACCATGCACTTATGATCACATGCATTCATCCAAGCATAAGTTGTTATGTTGTATCCAAGCACTTATGACATGTTCATGCATGCACATGCATTCATCCAGGCACTTCTGATTCTTAAGGTCTACCTTGTGAAGATGAGCTAAAATTTATGGAGTTAATACATATATAAGTTTTTATCATTGGGAACAAAGCTATTATTAGACTGAAACTGTTGGCTCATGCATCTGTTCTATGAAATTTCATGAACTTTTCAATTTATCTTATATTTCTTCTGTCAGATCTCTGTTTTATCAATTATTGATAGCAAGTTATGGTAAAACTAGATTTTATGGTCCAGTTTGACGCATTTTAAAAAAATTGCCAAGTCGCCAAATCTGTTGTTCTCACGCGTTTTAGAAAATAGCTAACTCATCATATCGCCATATTAGATGGTTGCGAATTTGGATTAATTCTGTAAACTTGCAAAAAAATAGATCATGTAAACATGCAAAAATATCTAAACAATCTGTAAACATGCAAAAATAGCTAAAACAGAACTTCAAGAAAAACAACGAAAAAGGGGGGAAGTGCAGAATCACCCACTGCTTGGTGTGTTTTTAAGAATTGCATATAATCGGTATCCATGTACACATCAACCTATTTTCACTTAAACAAACATCCCAGAATTGCATAAAAATGGCATTGCGCACTCCCTTGACTTTATCCATGTACACATCGACCTATTTTCACTTAAAAATGCACAGAAAATTGACAAAAATACAATTCTTCTTACTCTTGTGAAAAGCGCCAAACAAATAAGTGGGCGATTCTGCACCTAAAGTATTTTAATAACTATTCATTTTATAGGATCAACAATATTAAAAGTTTTCATAATATCATATACCATTTTTAAGACAGTAGCAAAATGGAGTAAAGCGTTTTATCATGAAATTTAAGAAATTTGGCGTGATTTCGCTTCACTTGGTGACTGAACCGTTATCTCCAGTCCAGCCGCAAGTTACTGTGTAACTTGCTATGTGTGTGTATCATAGCCATAAAAAATGGCTGGGAATTAGTATTTGATTTTGAGGAGACCTTAAATATGGCTACCACATTCAGGAATTATCTACTTTGAAAACAGGCAAGTAGAGATAAAAAATGAAAATACTTCTCTCTGAAACTTTAAATCTGGAATAGAATTAAAAAGTATGCACTGTACATTTCTTTAATGTGTATCTACAGGAGCGTAGGTTCAAGTTTTAAAATTTGAACGTTATACTAAATTAACCAAGCATGTATATTTTTAATATATGGCAAAATTACTTTTGCCAAATTCTTAGGAACAGATCGACTTTGTTTAATTAAATCTGGCTAAAAAATATTTTAATTGCAGTTTTTGTTGGAAAATCATCAAAAATTATAACACTGGGTATATTAATTGTATAAAAAAATTTAAGACAAATTCATTCAGTACCCTTTATCTTTATATATTTGAATCTTTAACAATATAATTTAATACAATCTTTAAACAATATTATAATTGTTACAATGATAATTAACAAGCATTTACTAAAACATTCATTAATTTTTATTAAAATATTAAGACTGTAATTATTTAACAAACTATTTAATGATGTTATTTTTTAAATATTTCAATAGATTAATAAAATATGAGTGGTATATATATCTACGGGTGATCATAATTAAAGTTACAATTTCAAAATGCTCTAACTTTAAGATTACAGAATGTTTCAAAATGACTTTAAACTCAGATTGACTTGATATTTTACTAGAACAGTCGTGAGACAATGGAATTTTGTCTGGAGAAGGAAAAAATAGTTTCATAATATGCCGATAGATGGCGCTGTCATCTTTCGCATTGCTGTTGGTATGCAAATTACTAAGACGTAACATGCACACTGCAGACATGGTTAAAATAAAAATACAGAGTACTAACAACACGCATAACATTTTGCCTGAGTGCTTCATCATGACTCTGATGAAGAAGGACCATGCTCTTCTCGTGAAGCTTTTCTATCAGAATGGAGACTGTGCATTAACAGCTATCAGGAAGTTCGAGGACATTAAAAGGCATGGCCTTTGGAAGATGATAGATAAATTTGAAGAGACTAGTTCATTTGACGTGAAATGAGGTAGAGGATGAAAACCAGTTTCGGCAGCAGCAGTGGAAAATGTGGCCACAGCTTGCAAGAACAGATAAACAGTGATGCAGGAATCAGCAGTGCACGGGGAATTGCCCGAATGTTGGATAACCCTATCAGTATGGTGTATAAAGTCCTATGGAACATCTTGTGCTGTTATCCATATAAGATAACTCATGTGCAGCAGTTGCTACCTGCTGACCTGGAAGCACGTGTATCATTTGCATTACATTTTCTAGCTGGGATGGAAGTGGATAATGAATGCTTTTGGACCATTCTGTGGTCTGACGAAACTCATTTCCATTTGCAAGGTTCTGTAAATATGCAAAATTGTAAGATATAGGCAACTGAGAATCTGTTCCCACTACAGCAATTATCTCTTCACTCTGAAAAAGTCACTGTGTGGTTCTTCCAGATCTCATCTGCAGTCCCCCTAACCTAAGCCGTTACTGGCAAGCAGTATGAAGCACTTTCGCATAACCATGTCATTCTGGCACTTCAGCAACATTTATGTGTGGATCGCACAATATTCATGCAAGATTGATTCTCCTCTACACATTGGTACTGGTGTGAAGCAGCTAATGATCGCTCATTTCAGAGGCTATCATCTCTGAATCATAAACCACCATTTTCCAGCAGATGACCACCATGCCCTCTTGACTTAAATCCTTGTAACTTTTGGCTTTGGAGATATCTAAAGAATGTTCAGCCTCCAAATGGTCCTTAAGAGTACCTTTATCTTTATATATTTGAATCTTGAACAATGTAAAAAAAGTCCTTAGTCCTTCCCTTAAAAGTCCTTAAGTATTTTGGAATCGATTTTTGGTCCTTAAAAGTCCTTAATTTCGGCTAAAATAGGCAGGAGGTACTTAATTTTAATCATCTGAAATTTCTGTTTGTTTTTGCAACTGTCATTTTGAGTGTGGATTAGCATTTTGGAGGAATATTTTTGGCGATTCGCTGACAAATATGGTTGTCTTTTGAAAATGGGTAAATGTGTTCATGGGTTTTAATTTGTTCCTATTTCTAATATAAATTATGGTATAGAGTTTCTGAGCAAGAAGTCAAGCATAAGCATTTCGAAATTATTTCTTTTTTTCTATTGAAGAACTCTTAAACAACTTTTCGCCGTTGGGGTTGTAAATTCTTTTATTAAACGGTTCTAAATTTGGTAGCTTATCAACATTTTGGCGATTTTAAGATGAGGTTCCATAGAAAATTTTTAATTCCGAGATCTGGGAATTTTTAGACGGTTCCTTTTTAGAACATTATAACATTGATTAAATTTCATTAAAATGATGGTAGTGTATTGTAATTATATTTAAGAAATAATATTCAAGTAAAGCATTTTTAAATTTTGCTGTCATATAATAAATTCTATTTTGGCCACTTATTATACAATATTTTGAATCTGAAAAGTGAGCAAGGTATAATGCTATAACAGCACAATTTACAAAACAGTTCTTAGGAATAGCAAAATAGTTATGTAATTAATTAAAAATGTCTTTTTAATTTTTCATGGTAAGAGTTTTCCCATGTGGTTGTCTCAGAATATGCATCAGTTTTCTCTATAAAATTAATTTTACACTTTTTCCCTCTTTTTTTGTTTTTTTTGTTTTTAAATATTTCTGGCCTTTTGCTGTTACTGAATTGGTAGGGATAATTTTTCTTTAGGATTTTAGACCGTGCAGCTTGAAAATTTAGAAAGATTTATAGACCCACAATTCTAGAAGATTCCAGAAAAATGTGACAAAATGATAAATGTCTCCATGGTATTAACACATAATTTCTTACTTTTTGGAGAATGTCTGGAAGAACAATGAAAACATAATAGTCGAATATTTTACTTCTGATACTAGAATATTTTTCTTAACATTTAGATCTTCCAGTCATTTTCTGTACTTTTAACTAGACACAAGCATGGAAAATGTAAAAATATATCATATGGACAGGGATTATAGAAAAGAAGTTTTTTATTAATAAAGAAATTGAAAACTGACAATTTAAAAGATTCATCTAATATGTCTTAATGCATCATACTATGCATTTTCCTACCTGATGCAATCTCTGTGGATCCTAAATTCTGCGGCTTGGTGCTTTTCTAAATTGTGCTTCCAATGCCTGTTCTAAATTCTAAAAGTTTTGCTATTCCTAGATTTTGTTGCTCAGTGTGTCACTAAACGCTAAAAATTATGCTACACCAGCTCTGTAACTGCACCTTACCATATATATTTCATATTACTGGAGAAATAAAATTAGCAGCTTTTCCTATACATTCTAAATGCATTTAGTTTTTTTAGAAGAACAGAAATCTTTAATTAAATCTAAAAATGAAAAGGAAATGTGAAAGAAGGAAACTGAATACATAAAGAGAACGAAAATTATTCCTTGAAAGATATGTACAGTTATTACAGTCAAAAGTCGTTAATCCGGACTCGTCGTGACTTCGGCAATTCCGGATTATCGATTTTTCCGAATTATAGATCATTAGTTTAAATCTGGTA